CAGTAGTGTGGTTTAAAAATATATCTTCACATTATGCATGGGGTTTGTGGTTCTTACTTTAATTTGTTGTTATTGTTACTTTAAAATCTTGTGAGTTATCCCTACTGCATTTGGGGTCCAGTTGCTCATTCCGGTGGCCAAAATTCTGTTATACAACATAGTGCTGGCATAACCAAGATTGGACAGGGGAAATATTTAAACTCATGGAAAGTTTCCTACCCTCTCCTTTCAGGTCCTAAGTAGAGATGGGCATGAAGTTCTTTATGTCCCTTCATCATAAGTTGTCTTCCAATCAAGACAGGAGCCTGGACTTCCCTTCTCTGCCTCCTCCAACAACTGGCGACTCAAAGACAGTGCTGCAGGAATCCCTGCCCTGCCTCCTCATCTTAGTGGCCAGCTGCTGGAGGAGGTGGAGAAGGGAAGTTGAGCTCCTGCCTGGACTGGAAGATTGTGTGATTGGGAGGGGACAGAGCAGTGTACACTGGCTGGTGAGTGGAGGAGCAGGCAAGGGTGTTGGGAGAAACGAACCTGCACAGATGACTTAGGACAAAGAGGTGCAAAGTACTTCATGCCCATCTCTAGTCCTAAGGCTCCTTTTGCCTTAGGCAAGCCTTTGGGAGCCTTGAGATGTGGGAAAGTCATTAGTAATAAAATACTGCCACTAAATTGTGGTCCCAATCCTGGCCTGCAGCAATCCAATGGCCATTTTTAGCATTTTTATTTATTCATTGTTCATTTTCAATGAGAATAGGAATTGGGATGGGGGTAGGGAGAATAAATAAGGATCAAGAAGGGGTAAAATTCCAGAGAGCGAAATAATATTCTTACATCCACTTACACAATTATGCTAAAAAGGAAGATCATAAAAAGAAACAATTTAGCCATTTTTACTAGAGTGTCTATAGTTACTAATCTCTCCATTCCCTTGGACATTCACATTCTTCTTTTATCTATACTTTTCAATCCATATTTTGAATCCAATTATAAAATCGTTCACAATTTTTGAGTCCTTTTTGAGATGACCTTTCATTTAATGCTTCTGTTAGTACATCATCTCCACCACTTCCAGTATCTTTTCTATCAGCTCTTCAAGAGTCGGTACTTATTTCTTCCAATTTTTCTCATATGGTATCCTTGCTGCAGTAATTAAATGTATTATCAAATATCTCATTTATTTGTCTACAATTTCAGGCATAATATTCAATAAAAACAATTCTGGTTTAAATGGTATTGCACAAGATAAAATGTTTTGTAACATTTCATGCATTGATATCCAATACTTTTTTTGCTTCCCTACATGTCCACCAGATATGATAAAAAGTACCCTCCTATATTTTACATTTCCCACATTTGTTGGAGATATTTTCATGCATTTTGGACAGTTTAGCTGGAGTCATATACCGTCTATGAAATATTTTATATATTTTTTCTTTATAATTTACTGATTTTGTAACTTTAATGTTATTCTGCCAAATTTGTGCCCACTGTTCTAAATCAATATTATGACCAATGGTTTGTGCCCATTTTATCATACGATCTTTCACCACTTCATCTTCCATTTTCATATTTAGCAGATATTTGTACATTCTTTTAATTATTTTATCACTTGTCCCTAAGAGTAGTTTATCAAATGTCATTTGTTCTTCATAAAAGCCCATTATTTTATCTTTTACATACCTCGAGTCTAATTGTAATGTCATCCACCAATCTTGAAAGACTTTCTGCTCCTCTAGCTCCTCTCTAGTCTTTAACACCCCATCTTTATTAAGCAAATCTCTATACCTCAAATGTTTTGTTAAGTCCATTAAGGTTGGCTGTGTAAATGCTTCTAATGACAATACCCACCCTGGAATTTTACTATACATTTGCTTTTGTGTCTTATTTCAAATCCATAACAAAGACTTTGTTATCATATGATTATTGAAGACTTCATGATCTTTAGCTTTTTGGTACCGTACAAAAGCATGCCACCCCAGGCTAAGATCAGTCCCTCCAGTTTAAGCAATATCTCATTATCCAGAGTAATCCATTCCTTAATCTAGGCCAGTACACAGGCCTTACAGTAGATATTCCAATCCAGAAGACTGAAACCTGCCCTTTGTTTAGCGTCTTGTAATGCCTTCACTTTAAGCCTCGGGTTTTTTCCTTGCCAAACAAATTTTTATTATTTTTCTCTTAATGTCCTGGAGAAGTGTTTGCTTTAACATCACTGGTATTGTCTGAAAAAGAAAGATCAATTTAGGTAGCACATTCATTTTGATTACTGCTATTCTTCCCATCAATGAAAGTTGTAACTTGTCCTACTTTTTCAAATCTTTCTGTATCTCCTTAAAAAGTTTCATATAATTGCCTTTTATTAATGTGCTTGTCTTGTTTGTTATTTGGATTCCCATTTTTTTATTAAAGGCTCTTCCCATACCATGGCTCCCATGGTAAGTAAGTAAGTAAGTAAGTAAGTAAGTAAGTAAGTAAGTAAGTAAGTAAGTAAGTAAGTAAGTAAGTAAGTAAGTAAGTAAGTAAGTAAGTAAGTAAGTAAGTAAGTAAGTAAGTAAGTAAGTAAGTAAGTAAGTAAGTAAGTAAGTAAGTAAGTAAGTAAGTAAGTAAGTAAGTAAGTAAGTAAGTAAGTAAGTAAGTAAGTAAGTAAGTAAGTAAGTAAGTAAGTAAGTAAGTAAGTAAGTAAGTAAGTAAGTAAGTAAGTAAGTAAGTAGTAAATCACTGGTAAAGAATCAATAAGTCAATCACTGTAAATAAATCACTGGCTCTCACAGACTATTTCACACTGATAGGCTCTCTCACTCACTATAAGTAACAAACTCTCATCTCTAATCTCTATCTCCCAAAACTGATCTCTCAAACACCATACCCCTTTATATCCCAGCTCCTCCCCCTTTAGCACCACCTTCTGTCCCCTCATTGGCTGCTGTTCCACTGCCCAGCTGTGACAGACAGGTGAGGGCAGGGTTGAACGTTAAAGTAAGTAAGTAAGTAAGTAAGTAAGTAAGTAAGTAAGTAAGTAAGTAAGTAAGTAAGTAAGTAAGTAAGTAAGTAAGTAAGTAAGTAAGTAAGTAAAGGCACCCAAAGAGGAAAAGGGAGCCCTAAGGAGCGTTGCAACCTGAAAGAGTGTCCATCTCTACTTAGTGAAAAATTGCACAAGATTTTACCCACTGTGTGGGTCCTGAACATCTGCACCCCAGAGTGTTGCCCTGATGGCTACACTGGTTTTATCTCATGCGCTAACAGACAGTTGAGAGGTGATATGATATTTAAAGAGTTTCTACAAGAAAAGTGGTACAAGCCTGTTTTCTTCTTCAGTGGGCAGGACCGGAAACAGCAGATTCAAATGAGAAGCATGCATATGGCAACTAAATATTAGGAAGAACTTCTTAATGATAACTGCTATTTAATGATGGAGCAGATAAACTCAGAAGGTGGTGGACCCTCCTTTGTTGGAAGTTTTCAAATAGAGGTCAAATGTCCATCTGTCAGGGATGTTCCAACTGTGGATTTCCTGGCAAAATTTGGACTTGTTGATTCTTGCAGTTCCTTCCAACTGCAGTTTTCTAAATCTGCAAATGTTCCTAGTAGCCCAATAAACTATGTGGGTGGAATTCAACGTGTCATGGAGCTATTGCCGGATTCTCAAATCCAGATTTTTTTGAGTTGGGGAGCAACCTTTCCCCACCAGTGCTGTAGATGCAGTACAGCAAATGGTTCCTGAAACTAACAGAACATCAGAAGCTCTTTAGGATATGGCATGGAAAGCTCTTGTTTAAAGAAAACTTGAAAAAAAATCAGTCAGCATACCAATAGCTATTGCATAAAACCTGTGGACTATGATTCCTGCGTAAACTCTGCTTGAATTGATGGAACCTGCGCTGATTTACTTGGCCTGTAATAGTCTTTGCATCTTCAAACAGGAATTTGCTCACCTGATTACTCCAAAATTATTCGCGGTATATAAAGGTTTTCATTTGTCAGTTTGGTGTTGTTTAATAAAAAATCATTAGGGGTAATTCAGTGGTGTTTATACAGATGGGAGTATCACAAGGGATTTTCAAGTCTAGCCTGACATTTACTTTTCTTATCCAAAGCTGCAGTTCTCCAAAAAATGTCAGATGACTCCTGGAACTTCATATAAACACTGTTACTCAAAGTACAATATTTACTTCTTGTCCTGCCTATTGTAAACAGTAAGTATTATATTCTAGGCTAGTTCTTAAATCCTTCTTTCTCCTCTGATAACTAAGAATCTTTATGTGAGGCTTCTAGCAAAACAAAAGGAAAAAAATCTTTAAGAAACTAGCAATTCCAAATATTCACAGTATACTGTATTTTGCATCAGCATAAACAGTGCAGACTTTTACTCTTTAATGAAGAACTTACAAATATTATTTTGGTACTGATGGGTTAATCACAGGTATGCAATTTCTCCATCTTGTATGACCTTGGGAACAGAGATCAGCTTTATCAAGAGGTGGTGTTTTCTATGTTAGGCCCAATATACACAATTAAGAGCCCTTCCTACAGAGAGATGTGTCACCAGCAATCCTTCTGTGCTAGCTTTCAGCAAGCAAGGAATTTCGGGCCATTCAAAAGTGGTTATCCCTTTGTGTTTATATCAAAGGTATAATGGCATTTGTGTATGCAAGTTCAGCACCCTGATTGAAATTGAAATTGCTTGAAAAAAGAGAAACATAGCAACTTAAATGAGAATAGATCTTGATTAAACAGCATCACATAGGACAAGCTTGCTGTACTGAAGAAAATATGTTTAGCATCCTTGTGGCTGCCTGGAGAGAAAGTGTTATGTGAATTATGTAACTGCAAAGGTCAAGTGTAAGGAATGCAGACTACGTGCTGAGGGGGATAGGATGGTAGGGAGCAGAGTGATTCAATAATAAAAAGGGTACACAGAGATATGAGATTAAACAAGAACAGCCAAGAGGGTATGGATAACACCCAACTCCAGACAAGAACCAAATAATTTACTGTCTCTTTACCTTTCTTTTCTTCACATCACACCTCATTATATCCTGTCTTCCCCATCATCCCAGATCCTATGCACGTTCCACCTTCATATGAGTCCAAAAATGCAGGGCCATTGCTTGACAAAACAGTTTCTGTGTTGGGAGAAAATATGTGATCCATGGAAATATAAAACAAGATATAAGGGCCGTAACTCATACACTACATGAGTATATAATAATATAACCTTTGAACTGCAGAGCTGGAAGAGACCTTATGGATCATCAAGTCTAGAATCTGTCAAGGAGGCACAGTGGGGAATTGAACTCCCAACTTCTGGCTCCACAGCCGGAAACCTATGCCACTGAGCTATCTAGACTATCCCTATCTGTCTGACTGTCTGTTTAGCTGTCTGGACTGTACAGACAGGCAGATACAGAGCTTCACCTCAAAGATGGAAGGAATAATGAATCAAATACCCTTGGTGAATTGCAGAATTTATAATCCAGTAAAGAGTTTAGCATAGAAAATATTCAGTTTTCTATGAGCTAAAGTAGGCTAAATCTATTGTTGATTTAGATTACAATTTAGTTTATCTTTTTTCCCCCCTACTAGATTCAAGTGCTCACTAATGGAATTATTCCTCTTTTTTTTCCATTTTCCAAGGCTATCTGACTGATATCCTTTGGGTCTGGCAGAAATGGAACTACTTAAGCCAGCAAGTGTTTGGCCAACAGTGCAAGGTGGTTCATATGTTTGGCCCCCTTCCTAGTTCTTTCATCCTGAAACTTCTGTGTTCTGATGCATCTGCCACTAGGAAGAAACTCCAAGGCAGCCTTCATTGGTGTGCATATGGAAAACTGGAATCAAGGTGTCTGAAGTCTGCAAGGGCTTAATTTCGACCATTATTTATGCCTACAGCACTGGTGATGATAAGCAGGATGTTTCTCATGACTATATGTTGCCATTTAGATCTGGCATAGCTATAGAATCATAGCAAGCAATAGATGGACATGGAGGCAACCCAGAAGTACTCCATTTGCACTTTGATGTCCACAGTAACAAAAAAAAATAACGAAAGCTGTCTTCCAATAGGAAATTACTAATCTAAAGTTAGATCAAAGAAAAAAGCAAACTATAGGAAAAGGGAGAGCATGTGCAAACCAGATAGTAAATGTTTCCTAATGTAAACCAGTATAAATAAGAAAAAATTCCCTCCTGGGAAAAGGCAATAGTGATACAGCTGAGATGACATTATGTTAATAACCCGTATATAATTATTTCACTGACTTGGATGAAAGATATTGGCTTCCTCAGAATCAGATGGATAGGAGAGATTGAATTCAGTGCCATCAGCATACTGATGACACCGAACCCCAAAACTCTGGAGAACCTTTCCTAGCCATTCCATCTGGGTGTTGAAAAAACATGGGGGACAGAACTGACCCGTGAGAGACAAAACAGACCAATGGCCAGGCTTCCCTCAACACCCCCTCCTGCACCAGAACGCAGACAGAGTCCTCTGTCCTCTGAAGATGCTGGCCACAGAGACTGGTGAAACATTAGAAAGAAAAACCTCAAGAACACAGCCAAACAGCCCAGAAAACCCATAACAACCCCCTCCTGAGTTTGGCAATCCAGGAAGGATCAGAATCTCTGTAAAATCTCACCTTCTCATGGTGTGCCCAAAGTATGACAGCCTCAGGTTAATCGTTTTTGCCTCCAGAGATAGTTCAGGTTTGGATTGTTCTTGGATCCACTGGCAGTCCAAGGCACCTGCAAAGCTCTCCTCTAGCACCACATTTCAAATGAATCCTTTCCCCCCCTCCTGTCAGCTTTCTTTTCTGCCCAGATTCATATACTGTATGGTCATCAGGAATTCAGAAGTGTGGATTATCTTAGTCTTGATTTCCAGTGACACATCATTACACTAGATGAGCTTCTCTAATTCCTTCATTGCTTCCCTTTGGAGTCTCAGTCTTCTGATGTCTTAGCTGCAATCTTTATTTGGATTGATGATTGAACCAAGACATCTTCTTTCTTGGGACTTGGGATGTATGTTGAACATTGCCAGTCTGTGGACCATTGTTTTGTTTTCCATACTTCTTGACATATTCTTCTTATGATTTGGGTAGATTCACTTTTTATGGCTTGAAATAGTTCTATCGGTGTTTCATTGATTATTTCTTCCTCATGCTTTCAGACCAGCTTCTACTTCACTTTCTAGATTCTTCATCATAGAATTTCTCTTCCAAAAAAGTCTGTTATCCTTTTATCTCTTCTGTATAGGTCTTGAGTGTTTCCAACTTCTGTTCATTTTCAGCCGATATATGTGCTTTCCTGTTAGTCATTCAGCAATACTAATCTAGGCTTAAATTTCTCTTTGATTTCTTGGATCTTCTGGAAGAGATCTTTTGTTTTTCTCCTTTTGTTATTATCTTCAGTTTCTTTCCAGCAGTTATGCTGATCTTTTGTTGAAATCAATGGGACTCAGAGTCAGATAACTTTCAGAAAAATGCTAAAGATCATGGCCTAAGTCACCCATTTGGCCTGGTTAAAGTCAGTATCATTCAGTCACAATTCACCAAGCCCAGAATCTAGGAATAGTCATATAACCTACTTTTGAAGGTTTTTAGAGGATGGCTGAGATAAGAATCATAAAACGCATCTGTTGTCAAGCAGTGCCATAAAATAGATAATAAAATATTCCTTCTTACATGTTTTGTTTTCCCATGTCTCTTGCAGTATATGATACTGGCTAGATTTTGAAAATATTCCTTAAAAGGATTCAGAGCCCAAGATGGTATCCTGTAGTAGACCATCTTGACTGCTGCCATCAGTGTTGTCAACATTCAGGATGTCCTTTGCTTCGTAAAGTCCGGTATCCTTTTTCCTGCTGGCAACAAGGACATGATAATGTGCAGCAGTATTGGGCTATTTCCTGGTGTTTTGAATTGTGGGTACAGCAGCACAATATTCCACATTCATAAGGGGTTTTGTAAGCATTGAATTGCCACATTTAATTCAATCTTGTGAAAGCACCTAAAGTTTTGTTTTGTTTTGTTAGCAGAAAAGACCTTTGGCCCTGCTGAACTTTCCAACATTGTTGGCATACCAAAGTCTTGAGTTAGCCTTAGAGTAGCTGGTCTACAAACAGAAGAATATTAAAGCAACCTTGTGATACTGTTTTTTTTTTTCATTCACTTGCATCCTCTTCCAATCATAATATGTGATGTCCTAAGAACAACTTTGTTTTTCATTTCCATGTGTTTACTGGGACTGAAGTTGCAACCCGGATTCATGTAATTGTGCAAACTATTAATCCTTCCCATTTTCTTAGGATTTTTAAAAATCTCTTTCTTGATACCCTTCACTAGTAATTAATAGTCACTGGTTTATAATGGACATTTTTCCACATTGAGCAAAATGTTAAAATCACATCCATGCCAATTCAGCTTTGGGTTATAGCTCTTCTTGCTATGTCTCATATGGGAACTGCAGGCAAAGTAAACCTGTAGACCAGTCCTTCTTATATATACATATTATTCTTTATCTCATGTTTTAGATTAATGCACTTGGCAAGAATGGATGAAAAACCTTTTTATGTACAGTATTAAACAATATAAACTTTTCTTGCAGGAGGAGTTGTACATTCAACTCATCTAAAACCACAAAAAGAAATCTTAAAACATACACAATCCAATTTCAGAGTATGATATCTAGTTAACAGCTTCCTCAGCTGAAACCTTAAAGCCACAAGTCCAGTGCAGCCTGCATCTTTCCTGGCTTACATCTAAGAAATATGTCTGGCAAAATCCATCTGCTATTAACTTTTGGGACAAAGCTAGCAGATTGTATGATGTCTTTCATGGTCTATACAGGTATTGCCTTCTCCTGCATTTGTATTGTGTAAATGCAGCTCTCTTTTATTTAATTTTAGGGTGTTTCTCTTCAGATAAAGCTGTGTCATTAAGAGATTTGTATTCCCAAACTCTGGTGCTTAATGAAGCTGCTAAAAAGCTTATTAACAAGGTTCTATACAGCTCACTGGGATGGCTCTTAATTTTCAAAAGGAAGGTGAAGGCTAGAGACTTGATTTTGTTTTCAAGGCCCATTCATGGTTCACTGTGCCCGAATACGATTTGGGTTACTAGCCTGTCATTTTGAAATAATTGTATCTGAAATACTACCAGATATTAATGATACTGATGCTTTTAATGTTGTTCCATTGTATGCCTAGTAATGCCAGTATTTCATATTTTGCAGGGGGAAAGCAGGAATGAAATGTTTTAAAAGCCTTTTTAAAGCCACTACTTTACAGCTTGAAAAAAGCAGTATCCTAGCATATTGTGTGCACACACAAATTCACTCAAACCTGAAAAACATGCCATAAAAATGGGTTAGTGTTGAAGAAAAGGAAGTTTCTTCATTATTTTTATACAGAGGCACCTATTATTCAGTTTAAAAAAATTAATCAATCCTAGGTTAACGTTACATGCTGGTCAATAACTTTGTTATTAAATACTACTGACCAACATTAAATACTACCGGTGAGTTTAAGCTTTACATATGCTAGTGTGTAGAGTGTTGGTAGGACTCAGAAGATCTGGGTTCAAATGTCTACTCAGCTGTGGAAATTCATAGAGGAAGTAGTGGTGGTGAACCACTCCTCACATATCTGGAAAGACTTATTAAGGTTGCCATAATTTGGCACCTAACAACTGCAACAGCAACAACAAATAATACCTACTTTCCCCGTCATCACAGTGGGGGCTTTTTACCCTTATCTCAAACAGATAATCATTCAAATCAGATATATGTGTGTTTATGTGTGTTTGTACCCAAACAATCATTCTGGTAGCTTTGGCAAAGCTGATTGTTTGAGCTGTGTGGGAAGCTCAGTCCAAATCCTTCAACCTACTACTCTTGGGAAAGAACCTTGGCAGTTCATGGATTTAGTACATTTTAAGCTTCTGGTCCTAAAATTTTGGGGAGATAACCACCATTCTGTAGTAATGATCACAGATAACAAGGGATGAATCTCTGCTTGCCAAAAGGACTGACTGGTGCTTTTATTGTTTATGTAACTAATATTTCAGTCATTTTTTGAAAATAATGCTGTTTGGGCAGTTAGAACAGGGTATTTGACACATGACTGGATCTCCAAATTGCGCTAAGTTCTGATTTTGTTGAGACTTTGCTGCAAATTTGATCCATTTCTTGGAATTCTATAAGTAGAACATAACAGTTTCTAATGCAGCAAGACCACAAACTGCAGGTGTTTGTTTTTCAAACTACCTGGAACTGCAATAGCTATCTAGCTCTCAAAATTATGCATGTCTTAACGCTACTGAGGAAGTGTTTCTTATTCTAAGTTTATTTATTTATTTAACTTATATGCCGCCCACACTACCCAAAGGTCTCTGGGCAGCTTACAACATTTAAAATACAATAAAAAGACAAAATAATTACAATGCAATTAAAATATATACTCTAAAAATCAGAAGGATACTTACCTATCCTTCTGACCTCTCTGTGAATCTAAGGCAGCTACTGTAGGAATACAAGCGAGTGCCAGAAAAATAACAATTAAAAACCATAACCAAACCAAATAAAATAGCCAAGACAAAGAGCATACCTAAATCAAATAGTCTTGAAACCTCTATTGTAACAGTAATTAAAATCTCGCAGGACAAGTTGAAAACAAGTACGGAAAAGCACAAAGAAAATAAAGCCTTAATGATGAAATCACTGTACAAACATCATGCTCTTCTAACATAATTCACCACATTTGGAAAAGTATTATAGAAGAATGCCAACATTAGTTATGAATAGTAATTTCTATTACTACAGTCAGCAAAGCAAAGATGGGGAACCTTGTGCCTTCATATATAGTTTGACCTCTATCAGCCCCAGTCAGTATGGACAACAGTCAAAAAGGTTGGAAGTAGTAGTCCAATAATATTAGGAGAGCCACATGTTCCTCATACCTTTGTACCCCTAGAAAAGTGTGGATTTCAGAAAACCTTGCACTGGCCAAAATCTTATTGTTTAGTGTAGTAAATCACACAACAGTAGACCTGTTCAGTCAATCGGAATCAATGGATCTTACCTTCTGTAAGGTCTATTGATTCAAATAGAATTTATTATGCTAAAATATGTCAGAGTAGGCTCATTTGAATTAATGGAACTGAGTTGAATCACCAGATCCCCATTGATTGTATGAGAGAAAAGTGTGGATTTCAGAAAACCTTGCACTGGCCAAAATCTTATTGTTTAGTGTAGTAAATCACACAACAGTAGACCTGTTCAGTCAATCGGAATCAATGGATCTTACCTTCTGTAAGGTCTATTGATTCAAATAGAATTTATTATGCTATGTCAGAGTAGGCCCATTTGAATTAATGGAACTGAGTTGAATCACCAGATCCCCATTGATTGTATGAGCCTACTCTAATGCAATTTATTATGCTAAGCAATAAGATTTTGGTTACCAAAAGAAGGTGACCAACTTTAGGTCCAGCACTTGAACAACCAAGGTATATTGTTTTTCCGCCCTCGCCCATTGCAAAGCGGAAATAATACAATTGGCATAATATGTTTTTCATAGACTTTGTGGGCACTAATGCGTTTAACCAAAAGTGTGGAACTAAGTGCTTCTGGACTAAAAAAAATCAAAAAACACCTGTGCCCATTTTTAAAATCAGAAGTATCATAATAATTATTTCTTTTAATTGGCATTAATGTTTTTAATTTACATTTCAGTGACTTTTACTCACACATATTGGAACTGCATTGCAAACTGACATCTTTGTCCATGACAAGAAAATCTATCTGTATTCAGATGCTTACTGATTTGTGGTATTTCAATAATAAAACAGCAGGATTGAAAGCTCATGATGAGAAATATGGCTAATTACCTGTTAGATGATAGATAGTTGTAACTCAGCAGTGCCAGTCACTGAAAACAAAGCACTTTTAAATATCAATCAGCTTCCTGACAAATTCTGTCTCAAAACATATTCAATGGGCAGTGAAAGTGCATTTTATCTAGGGAACTACGTTGCACTAGTATCTCTCAGGTAAATATGATGCTATGTTAATAAAGTAGAGGACATTTTAAAGACAGATTGGTTTTTAAATTTATGATGTATTCATATTTGAAGCTGAATGCTAATGGAAATTATTAAGCAAAACCTCATTCCATTAAATCTCACTCTTGTGTTGTTCCATCTGAAAAAGAAAAGTGTTTCGTGATATCATATTACTGAGACCTTAACATCATTTTGTGTTGTTTCTGTGTAATTTTGATCCAGACCTCTTCAGAAACCTGTGTGCTTCACCTAAGATAAGAGGCAGGTCCCCAGGATGCAGCCTTGGGATTTCAGTATAGGAGATGCACTATTTCCTGTCAATTCCAGTTTGCACTGCTAGGTGTCCTTTGACACATGCAACTTGGCAGAGACCAGTTACTCAGTCTGAAGCTTCATTTTATGATGGAGTTTTGTGGCAGCATGATCAAAACTTGCCTTGGACATCCTTACCTTTTCCTCTTCCTCCACCTTCTCCTCCTCCTCTTCTTTCAATTTATACTTTTCATTCTCTTGATGAAGAGTTTTGGAGAAATCAAAGCCTTGCGCACGTCTCTGGAATTGTTGCTGTTGTTTTTGTTATGTGCCATCAATTCTCTTATGGTAACCGGTAAATGAGCAATCCCCAAAATGTCCTGTCCTCTACTGCCCTGCTCAGCTCTTGTAAACCCAACCCTGTGGATTCCTTTAGGGAGTCACTCCATTTCATATTTGGTCTTCCTCTTTTCCTGCTGCCTTCAACCTTCCCCAGCATTATTGCCTTTTCCAAAGAATCCTGTCTTCTCATGACGTGTTTAAAGTAGGACAGCCTCGGTTTCAATATTTTGCCTCCAGAGATAGTTCAAGCTTGATTTGATCTAGGACACACTGGTCCATCTTTCTGGCAAATCCAGAGTATCAACAAAGCTCTCCTACAGCCCAACATTTCAAACAAATCATTTTTTTTTCTGTCAGTGTTCTTAATTGTCCAGCTTTCAGACCCATACATAGCATTTGGGAATACAATAGTGTGGATGATCTTGGTCTTGGTCTCCAGTGACAGATTCTTATACTTGAAGATCTTTTCTAATTCCTTCATTGTTGCCCTCCCTAGTCTCAGTCTTCTTCTGATTTCTTGGCTGCAGTCTCCTTTTGGATCTCCATATGGAATTGTAGTTGGTCTTAATAAATCTACTGGCCACCATGGATTTAGATGTGCTTTCCCCCCATGGATCAAAAAAGGTTACCTCTACAACACTCATATATTCTCAAAGCACGAACTGTGTTCTTTTTATGCTGGAATATTTCTGTCTATGCACACATTGAAGGCATAGATAAAGCCCATTTGAGTCCCACTGAAATTAGTGTGATGCGTAATGCAATCCTAAACATGTTTGTTTGGAACTTTCAGACTAACTTTCTGTCATTGTGTTGTTAAGTACTTTAGTTCTGTTCACTACAGTGTGATTATAGATCCAGTGTACAGTCATTTTCTCTCTGGTACACACTCTTGGGAGGTTCTTCTGTATTCCTATTTGACAGCTAACAAGTTGCTTAAGGATAGGGCACTAAGTAAGGATTATCTTTAAACAGAAGTCTCTGTTCCTTTCACCTTAATTTTTTTTTCGGTGAAAACAGTAGAGTAGTTACAGTATAGTTACAATGTTAATATATGAACATGTCCAACAAAAAAAAACCTGTTGAGCTAAGAAAATAATTGTTTAACATAGTTGCTCCTCTTTAAATCTAAAATCATTCCAGAGTAACTAATCATCAGATCCTAAAGTGGGTGTTTAAAAAGAATATATACAAGATATACCTTAAGTGCTTAACATATCTCTAATGCATTATTATGCAGTTCAAGAAATGTCATCATAAGGTTAAACTTAACATGGTTGTATCCTGTTTTCCCAAAAATAAGACCTAACCTGAAAATAAGCCCTAGTATGATTTTACACAATGCTCATAATATAAGCCATACCCCAAAAATAAGACCCAGTGGAATGAAACCCCACCTTCTACCATTGCACAGCAACCAGAAGAAGATGACATGACTGTATTTGAATAAATGTAGATTGTTGTACATAAAAAACATACCCTGAAAATAAGCCTAATGTATTTGTTGTTGTTGTTGTTGTTTAGAGTAAAAAATTCTGTCTTATTTCGGGGAAACACAGTAATTAATTTATTAGGGGAGGCAAAATGAAAAAGTTATGCAGAAAATAATTTTGAATATTAACGCAAAAATAAATATATTCTGCTGCAGATTTGAAAGAAAATACTTAAGGTTATTTAAGAACTATACACACAAACAAGTACGATAATCTGTGGAAAATTGGGTTTTGACTCTAGCATTTAACACTACATGAAAAAGATATGTGGAAAAATGGGTCAGGTACAAGATATAGACACACTGGCACATCAGCTGTATTTTGAAAGGGAAGCATTGTCTAAACCTAGCTTCTCAGTGAAAGGAAGATTACGTTTCCTGAGCAAAGTCATGCACAAGAAGTCACTATGATGTGTTTCCACATGTACTACTTTAAAGAAAACAAGAACACTAAAAATAGGTGGCCTGATTTCTCAACAGAACATAAGCTGTAAGAAGTATTTTCCTTCGGGAATGAATTTTGCCAGGCATGTAATACCTGGGACCTGCATATTTCTGAGACTTGTTGAGCAAGAAAACATAACGTATGGATGGAACAGAGATACGAGTGGCAATAAAATGGGGGAATGGGTGGGTTGGGTTTTGGACTATCCCAAAACAGGAAACCCACCGGCTTTCCTTTTAAGAGGAGAACCAATGCTCAGATACTGGATTTGGCTCATATATAACTGGATGCATTTTTGCTATGCCTTTGTTATACTGTCATGCGAGAACTCTTGCATCTAGGGTGGATACTCACAAAAAGAAGAAATGCAGCATTAAAGAAGAGAACAGAAGGTGAGCACATATTCTTTGTTGGACGTTTCCAGAGTCTGTCCCAGGTATCTGCAGTTAAAAGGGTCAACTGGTACATTCTGTGAATGATCTCTTTTGGAGAATTGTTCCCCGTCAGAGTGGATAATGAGCTAAAAGGGCAAATAATCTGACCTACAGCAGTTAAACTTCGTATGTTTTTCTCTCTCCGTAGAAAACACAGAAAACAACTACGTATGCGGTTGGGGATGGCGAAGATGTTGTTGGACTGCAACCCCCAGCATTCCTTACCACTGCCTGTGCTGGCTAGATCTGATGACATTTGCAGTCCAACACCATCTGGATAACCACATGTTTCCCGTCTCTTCAATAGACAAGATGGTGCCTCATTCCTTCCAGTAGTGTAGATAGCTAGGAACAACACGAGCAGTTCCAGACTGTGGGTCAGTACTGGTCATCCCTATAGCACATGTATTGTGGAACCCTTACAAATCTAGTTCTAGACTACATACATGGGCAGAATGAACACAGTTTTAACTCATCCAGCTTTAAGGCAATGT